ATTTCCGGTGGGGGCCGCGTCGTTCTGCAGAGGGTTTCTTTTTCTGTTTGTGTTGTGAGTATTTGCAGCGCGTTTCTGTTTTTGCAGCGCGTTTCTTTATTTGTTTGTGTTGTGAGTATTTTTAACACGTTTTTTTATTTGGTTGTGTTGTGAGCATTTTCAGCGTGTGTGTTGTCAAATTGCTGAAGGAGGTTTTTTTTTTTTATTTGCAGGTGTTTTTTTCTATTTGCATGCCTTTTTTCCATTTGCAGCGCGTTGAGCTCTCTCGGCCACCGTAATGATTGGCTAACAGTTGTGTTTGTTTGACAGCCTACATCCTTCATTCATGGACGCTGTTGTGATTTAGGTTAAAAACAAATAAATACTCCGTACATATCAAACGATCTGGAATAACAGACAAAGCCACATAATAAAAACTGTTACTCACACTTGTGTGGTGCGACATTACTATAGAATCCAATATAGTCACCACAGCATTGTCTTTTAGTTTCAATCTTTCTGAAAATCCTGCCGAATTGTGCCTTGTTTGTAAATGTATCCGCGGTAAAATGAAGTGAACAAAGGACCGAGTTCTTACTGATGAGGTCTGGATCTTCATTAAAAATAAAGTTAATCCACAACTGTTTTTCCACAACTTGGCACTGTACAGCATCTTGTTGTCTTCGGAGCCATCTTAATCGTTAGATTTGTAGACATGTGTGACACTTCGCTGAATTTGATACAGACAAAAGAAAAGTCTGAGTATGGACCAGTCGAATCAGAAGACTAAATTCGCCTACAGAGAATAAGGATATCACAACAATAATGAACCACTCACACAATGTATTAAGTTTAACTGATTGTATTATCTTTCTTAGAAGATATTAGATCTCTAATGTATACCATAGCATGACAAATTAAAGTACAATATGTAGTTCTCAAAAAACAAAATGAAATTATTTAACCAGTAAGTTAATCCATTCTAATATTCTTAACACTTTTCCCTTTTTTCTTACAGATTTCAAAATTTTCAAAATTCCCAAAAGGACTCAAAAGGTAAGTATAATCACCCTTCCTAACAATGTTTATGTAAATTAAGTGAATTAACCTTTGATTTTGTTCCCTTCTGGATTTCACTAATTTCTTTCAGTAAAAAAAAAAAAAAGAACACTGAATTCACCTTATGAATGAAAATTCAATACAATGAAATAATCAGTTTAAATTCCTTATTTGATACCCTTTTTTTCAAATTTAAGTGGATTTCTCCTCGTTTCAAATTTGCAAAACAAAAGAAAGAAAAGATAGAAAAATTACATTTCATCAATTAACAATTAGAATAAAATAAAATAAATCCAAATAGATTCAAATATAAATCCCTTCACAGAAATTTAAACCTCAGTTTTCAAAATGAATAATTCAAGTCTCAAGTTATATTCACAACTTTGTGAAAACGGCTGAAATCAATGAACAACTGAATTGTTCGTAACTCAGTCTCTCCTATGTGACTCCTATGTGATCGAATCCTTCCCAAGAACAGTGAACCCGGTGTATATACTGTTAGTTCAATTTCCTACCGTCCAAATCGGCAACGACAATGTCAGTTTCACGCAATCACAACTCTGTTAGGTCCGTGTGGCTCGCCAGTCCCGACTCCCTCCGCGAACACTGGAGTTAGAACGAAATCCAGGAATCCAGGAACTCCACTCTGGTAAGCATCGGTTCAACGCGGCATCGATTCAGCGGTTCACAGCATGCACTCGATCGGACAACGATATCAAATCAAGAAAAAAAATTTAAGAAAAGGGGGGGGGGAACCTGACCTTGAATACAAGGTCACAAAATCACCATTAGTATTCTATCCATATCATACACATCATGTCTGTTACTACCGTTTAACACAGCATCAAAATGACAATCACATTTCACATACGATCGTGCAAACACATTCGCCACGTTATTTTACATCACACATTGGCAATTAAATGAAAAAAAAAAGAAAAGAAAAAGGGGGAAAAAAAACCTGACCTTGAATACAAGGTCACAAAATCACCATTAGTATTCTATCCATATCATACACATCATGTCTGTTACTACCGTTTAACACAGCATCAAAATGACAATCACATTTCACATACGATCGTGCAAACACATTCGCCACGTTATTTTACATCACACATTGGCAATTAAATGACCTTAAAATACAGCTTTCCCGTTTATATTTCACTTGTATGAACATTTAATGAACTTTTCACCCTAATTAATAAATGAAATAAAAGTTAACTCACCAAGACTCGATGAACTTGAACAATTTTATCCCTTTTATGTCTGAAAAACTTCGTTACATCTTGATCTTTTGCTTATCCTTCTTGTAGAAATTAAATTCCGTTTATATGGCTTTTTCTTTACCAAAATATCTTGTTATGCGATAACGAGGCTTTATCAACTGCGTCACAAATTATAAATCAATTTAACAGTCTCTTTTTCACATCAACCTTGATTTCTTTGTTCGCTACTTCATCTCTAAACACATATAACTTTAATTTGAATCAAATATCACTACTTGACTCATTAAATTCTCAGATTTCTTGGGAGAGATCTAAATTGCGTCTGCTCTCTTCCGCTCCGCCGATCAAAGAGAGCATGAGCTCCTAACCTCGTGCAAGATCCGGAAACTGAAAATGCTCTATACAACATACTAAATCCTCATTGATCAGTCTTCCCAATACAAAACAATTCAATTGGCTATTTATATGCCCATTAAAACAATATAAAACACATAAAATAGAAAAGAGAAAAAAAAAAATATCTTCATCTCATTTAATCATGTTTTAATGCTACTAGTAACCTGGGTTACACAATGGTTTGCAGTCCACAACAGGATGCTGATGGAGATGGAAAGTATATGATCGCCAGCCACATACACAGATGACCCTTCTGGCTGCCATGGATGCAGCGTGTCTTCCCAATACAAAATAATTCAATTGGCTATTTATATGCCCATTAAAACAATATAAAACACATAAAATAGAAAAGAGAAAAAAAAAAATATCTTCATCTCATTTAATCATGTTTTAATGCTACTAGTAACCTGGGTTACACATGCATTTGCCTCTCTCCTTATTTACGCTACATGCGCAAATCGGTGGGCGGAGCTAAACAGGCAGTGATGTAGAAGCAGGCATTGATCTTCTTCAGCAGACGCGGGGTTTAGCCACACTATTAAGTCATAAAGTGGTCCATTCCACAACCTGTCATTTTGGCAGACTGGCTTCAGCTGTTTTTAGACTAACAAGAAAGTTGAGTTCTGAAACGTACAGGATGTTTTTATAGTACAATGACCTCTTATATGTCAAAAGATCAAGGGCATTTTGATTTCTCGGTTCATGACCCTTTAAGTACACTTTTTGAGTATCTGTAGTATTATTTAATACTTAAAGCTGTTAAAGCGATAGTTTACCAAAAAAAAAAAATCTTTTTTTTTTTACTCACAAGTTTTTCTTGTTCCATGATGCAAACGTTTTGCTAAGCTTGGCTCTCCAAACGTGTTTAATCCCGTAAACAAGCTCTAATGAAGAGGGCATTAATGACCCACTGGGCTAAAGCAACTTATAAATCAAAGGAAGCATAGGAGTGGAGGATTTAATTGCAAACATGTGCCATGCATTAAAAATGATTAACCTGTGAAAGCAATCTTGACTAGATCCATAAGGCAATTTAATGTATCCATTCCAGTCTCTTTAAATCAGAGCATCAAAGGTTTCACACTTCTTGTATACTCACAAAAACACAAGCTATATCATAATACTCTAACTAAGGGGTTTTGTATGTTTACAGTGTGTTTAGTTTCTATATGGGATATTTCTAATGGTGTGATTGTTTGATAGATTTTGATAGATAGATTTTTTACTGAGCTCAACTAAAGCAACATAAGCATTGTTTTTATACGATGGAAGTAAACCTTAAAGGACTAATCCATATGCCACTGTAGTACCATCTGTATTCACTTATGACAGGTATTCACTGATTATTATGCACTTGTTAAAATAACTATGAAAAATGGTCGAAATTGTCATATTTACAAAAACAAATTAAACAGTAGCTTCTACGACTTGTTCACTGTATAAACCCTTCTACCTATTTTAACTTAAAACTTAAGTTCAGTTGCTACCTTAAATTTTTAAGTATAATCAACTGATCAATTAGAACATTTGATGAGTTAATGTAAAAACATAAGATGCCATGACCTACTGATCATATACATTTTTGTGAGCTATATTCAAAGTCAAGCTATGCCTGAGGAACAGATTTTCATTATTCAATGATAATCTGATGTTGTTGATTCCTGGTTGCAGACAATATTTTCATGTTTAATGGTCTGATGTGGATTGTGGAGAAGATTTTTCTAGCCCAGACCTGCCTTTTCCTCAGCAGCAATGTGTGTAACTAGCTCCGGCATTGTGCTGGTGAAAAAGGGGTAGGCACTTTCTAAGCATCATTAAACCCAGATCAGAGTGATATGATATTGAGAGCTTATTTACTCGTAGTCCTTTTACCAGGATATTACTGCAACCTCTTTCCCTGCGGCACTCTCTCACGTTCCTCTTGCCTGGCAATGAAACCGTAAAAACCACAGGCCAAAACCGCAGGACCATACTGGAAGCCTGCCTATTCTGCCCCGGCCCTACAGAGGGGAGCCCAGGCGGAAACCCCACCCAGGGACACAAAGCTCCAGGTTTGATTGACAGCATAGAGTCATCACTCCATCATCGACCACACATATATGAGATGCATCACATCTGGCCAGACACATTTAATCTAGGAACTGGATACCAGATAGAAAACAGCTTTGTGTAACAGCTGTGGCTGAGTGTCTGTTTCAATACGATAGTGAATTCAGGAAATAACCTCAAATTCAGTCCACCATTAAAACTAATGCACATATTTATCATCTACTTCCCTAGATGGAGTATTTCAATTACTGAACAAAATTATTGGCTGATTTGGAATAGAAACACCTTGCTGTGCCTCATTTGTTGTGTTGATGCTTTGGCAGGTCAGTTTTTTTACAACACTGACAGTAAATATTTTGAGAGGAGTAATCATGAAATAATTACATCATTTTGTCCTCATAGGACAAATACACCTCTGCTCAAAACTCTAAACTAAAAATTGCTGCCAAAGCCTCAGGACAAATATGAGGTAATTTGTTATTTTAAAAAATATCAATAAAATACATAAATGTCAATATATATATATATATATATATATATATATATATATATATTTCTGTCATTCAATAAAATACATAAATGTCAATATATATATATATATATATATATATATATATATTCTACAGACAGACATACAGAAGGAAAAAAACAACAACAATAAAGGCATGATGAAGCAGAACACGAGTTCACACTGAGAAACATCTGCAAGGCTCAAATTCAAATTCCAATAAATTTGAGCAAACTAAACATTTGGAAAATTCATTAAATCATCACATGAAAGACTTCAAAAGAACTAAAACTAAACCCTGTGTGGAACAATTCTGTATCACATTAAATTTTTTTGTGAGACTGAGAGTAAATTCCTGTGCATATATGATATAAAAACAATGTGTTTCATAAACAATGTGATGTCATTGGGACATTGCAGTCAATGTAATCAGACTTGATAGATAACAGACATTTTCTAACATAATGAGAGTGAAAAATAGATGAGAACTGAGTCTGCAATGTTTTCCAGTTATCAGTTTTCACTGAAATTCGTCACAAGATCATATCCTTTGTCAGACCCATTTCAAAATAATTTGTGCTGAAGAACATGAACAGGAAATGTTGACTGTTAAATTCAGCCCCACGGCTTTTAACAAAAGAGCTGAGGGCCTGGGCACAGCTGTTAAGGTTAGAAAGGGAGAGAGATGGATTGTGTGTGAGAGAGGGGGGGACAGAACTTTTTGGAAATGCATGTTGTTCTCATCTTATGATTAGTTTCTCACACAAACCTCAAGGGAGTGATATTGAAATGTATCCCAGATAGTAAAGAATTAGACACCATCAGTCCTTTGATGGGGCAAAAATACTCGCATCTAAACCTGAAACCACAAGCAATTTTGGACTCCAAAATTGTCAACGACTTCCTTTTTATAAACAACACAGTACAGAGAATTAAGTGAATGTCAGGCACTATTGTTTCCAGACTTTTGTAGTGAGTGTACTAACATATTATGAGTGAGCAAAGCAATGGGCAAAACCGTCATAACTGCTAACAGATCCTCATATTACTAATATGCAAGACATGGTGTCATTTAAAAAAAAAGGGAATCATTTCTTAATCATTTCACTGGGAGTGACTGTGACTTATGAATGGCTTGCATGGCTGTGTGTTTTGGACCACATGAAAGTTAAATGAAGTCAAAAACAGCTGTGCTGATATCAAAATATGGAATGGTATCAAACAAATTTAATCTACAATCTTCCTGTAAAGACATTAGTCGTCTTGTAAAAATGTTCACCAGTTTGCCAATCTTTACCTTATTGCATATATGCTAATATATATTGTACACAGTTGTTTTTGTCATTTCTCAATCAAATCTCGGGATATGAACCTCCAACATAGAAATATATAGTATATATATATATATATATATATATACTTTTACAATTCTACTGGGTACTCATGATTAAACCCAACTGTGTGTTTATTTGTTTTGCCTGCCATGTACATTCAAACAATCATGTTTTTGTTGCATTACAGTCAAACATGTTGCAATAAAACTCCATGTAAATCTGTTATAACCGTTCATAACGTCTACAATGACTTCACTTTTGGGCGATTCTTTCTGTTGAAGGCTTTAGCTTTAAGCCTGTGCCCCCTGAGGAGCATGGATGTTTGTTTACAATAGACCGCTGTGAGATCTCCAATGGGTGGTATAATCGCAAACAGCCTCTGTTTACAGCCTCCACACACATGCAGAATTTATTTCTACATAGCAAGGTTGGCTATAACTGCAACAGTCCGATCTGAAGGAATGACATTAAAAAAAGATTCTCTTCACACATGGAACAGTTAAGCATTACAGCCCCTATTTCAATTAAATGAGAAACTGCCTGAAGAAAAAGCTTATGGAATGTTTGTAAAATGACCTTTTATGTGCCTGACCACATCAATTCCTGGACTGAGATTTTTATAGATTGTAAACCATGTGCATAAGGGAATCTTCAAGTGTGAGAGGTTAAAGCCAAAAACTAAATTAATACAATAAGACACAATGTCTATTTAATAATTGGCATTTCATAGTTAGTGAGTGCCATAATAGTAGGAAACTTCCATTTGTTCCTGATAGCCTTGACTTACTTTTATGACAATGACTAAATAGTTAGTACAGTGTCCGTATTGCTTCAACAGCCACCAATAAGTCTGATTTTGTTTAGCTGGCTGGGGGATGCATAGCTGAGCCTGATGGCTGCTGGAACAAACGTGTGCCTGTTTTTCTCTTTCAGGCAATGCGTTACATTCAGTCGGCTGCTGAAGAGGCTCTTTTGTCTGAGCAGTGTATCATGTAGGGTTTGGGATTCATTTCCGTGATTGCATGCAGTTTGGAAAGCATTCACCGCAATCATCTTTAGCTGACTCCAATAACCTGGATTGCCAGAACAAGTGGGCATTAGCCTTGGTAGCTTTCAAACTACAGGTGCAATTTAGAGTCCTCGGTAGGAGTCCTCAGTAGTAAGTGGCAAGAGAAGCTGAAAACCAAATTTTATTCAAATTAAAAACAACTGTGAACTTGACAAAATCACACATATGGAACAAACCACTGGACAGGGAAAAACGCAAGGATATACCATATAAAAGTTTCGGTTTTTAAAATACTTTTGAATACTTAGTCTCTCTTTTTTTATCAAAAACACAGCAAAAACAGTAATATTGTGAAATATTATTACAATTTAAAATAGTTTTCCGTTTTCTATTTTAATGTATTTTTAAAATGTCACTTATTCCTGTAATAGCAAAGCTGAATTTTCAACTTTAAGTCTTCAGTGTCACATGTTCCTTGAGAAATCATTCTAATATGCTGATTTGTTGCTTCAGAAACATTTCTAATCATCATCAATGTTGAAAACAGTTGTGCGTCTTGATATTTTTGTATAAACTGCACATTTTTCAGGATTCTTTGATGCACAGAAAGTTCAAAAGAGCAGCATTTATATCATATATCATATCATTTAATGCATCCTTGCTGAAAAAAAAAAATTATTTCTTTTGAAAGAAAGAGACTGTACCAAAAAAGAATCGAAATGACATTCAATCTGCCATTTATGATGTCAAAAACCACTATTCCTTTGTAGCTCAAGGGAAAATAGGATGAAATAGAATCTATTTTTGATCTATTGTAATATATACAGATAACAGAAAATTTGATTCACCCAATGTGGCAACCAACACTGTGAACTGCAATTTTTTAGCATGCATTTAGATGATAATGTGTGCTGTTAGTTTACTTGTCTAAAGTTTTAGTTAGTTGTGAATGTTACTGTGACTGTGAAATAAGTATTAGTTCATTAGATATACTGTATGTTCTTTGATATTACCTGATATGACAACTGCAAGGAAAAACATA